ACTTGAAACGCGCTGAACCCCAAACCCATCCCCTCAGTTGGGTACTGCCCCCATACAGCAACGGTCTACAATAGGGCTTCTACTAAGGTCCTAATATATCTATATTCTGAATAGTGTCCAACTGTTACAGAGTAGGGGCAGTACCCAACCCCTCACAACGACCTACCACAGCGGTTCAGGAATCGGGAAAATCCTCCCAAGTCTCAGGACATCAGGGCAAGAAGAAACTGGGCGGAGAATCTCCGATGGCCCAAGGCCTTCGATTAGGGTAGGGAACAGCCAGGTAATGTAGGAACCTGATTAAGAAACCCTGGGCCTACAACCCCAAAATAGTAGGATTCATATGAGGAGCCCTAATAAAGGCACAAGGTTTCTTAACCAGGTCCCTACATTGCCCACAGTGTGTCCTGTTTCTCTGCGTCTGGACAAACGCCTTTGCTGATGAGGCTTTCGTCCTTGGTCAACTTGGAGCAGGAATCTGGAAACCCACACATCCCAGTATTCGAGTCCATAAACCCTTCGCATCAATCAAGCTCCCACCATTGCAGGTCTCCTAGTACTTCACCCCTGGAAACCCTGAACCGTTGCTCTCACGAAGAGGTGCATATCTAGGTTCCCCAATGGCCCCATAACAATGAGGGTACCCTTGTTCCTACTGTTTGGCTTTCAAAAGGGAACCCAAAAGCAAAAGGGCAAACGGGTACTACTCAGGAAACAAGATATCCAAGCAAGAGCGACGGACCCGAGGTGCTATGGGTTGCTCAAAGCCCCATATATAGGGCCTTTGGGGTTTAGGGTTGGGTGCTTCAAAGATACGCGAAGCCACTACCTAAATCCTGTTCAAATCCAGCAATCCCTGGCAACGATGCCAGGCACCCGAAAAGGCAACAGCAAGCCATGAATACCCCCCCAGCCCCCTCTTCATCGACCCAAATCCTAAACTTCTGACACAGGCACCTGATTGGTTCGCGAAACAAGGCGGGTACCCTGTTCTATACTTGGAGGTTCATGGGTAGTTATAAGTGGGGTTATAAGTCCCCTAATATGGGTTATAAGTATAGTTACCCTACTTATAACCCTACTTATAACTACCCATGAACCTCCAAGTAGTCATAGTGGGGCTTATATTGGAATGGGATTGCCCCCGAGATGATACCCCAAACTCCAAAGTTTTGAACCAAAGAGCCGCCACCCTCAAACCCTTGACCCAGAAGCCCCCATTAGAAGTCCCTTACAGGTGAGTAGTTCCTCTTCCATAGTACTCCCATAAGGCCCCCTTTACCTTGTAGGAGTGGTATGGAAGGCTTATGGGAAACTACCCACCCTACAACTACCCACCTGTAAATGGCTCAGACCCATCCCCAAACCCGAAGGCCCTGAAGCCCCAAGCCGCTAGCCCCAAAACCCTAGAACTCCTCAACCCGAACTCAGAACCCAGCCCTGAAGCCCTAAATCCCCAGCCCCAAAAACCCCTAAACCCTTGAACCCTAAACCAGAAACCCCAAAAGCCCTAAACTCCTGAACCCTAAACCTCAAAAACCCTAAACCTCAAAAACCCTAGACGACCAACAAGAAACACAAACTCCTGAACACGAACACCTTTTTCATACTGGGGCCCTTTCCTTGGCTTCAGGTCCTGGGCCACCTGCAAGTCCACGGGGAATGTGATTGACATACTGTTGATAATACAAATCCTGCATTACCTCAATGACCATAGACTATGGGAACTATGGCATATTCCTTATTATGGGCAATGCAGGATTTAGATTATCAACCGTATCTATCTATCTATCTACCTAATGTTTTACCTATCTATATGTGTGCATATACATGTGTATGTGTGTATGTATAGAGACAGATAGAAAGATAGATAGATAGGCAGATGGATAACACTTACACATACATTTCATAAACATGCACAGCCATACAATATCCATCTAGGATACCTTTGCTTATGCATCTGCTCTACGAGCTGGCCCCCCTGGCACACTGCCAGAGTCTGTGAGTCATATTACGGCAAAGCCGAAACACTCCAGAGCCCAAGCCTTGAATCCCAAAATCCCAAACTCTAAACGCTGTGCTTCAACGGTAAAAGGAGGGACCCTTAATAAGGACCCCTAGGTATAAACCCTTATATAGCTATTACATACCCATTATATAGCCCATTATAGGGTAGGGGTCCACCCTATGCGCCGCAAGACCCTACGATCTCTAAACCTCTGTAGACTCTCAAGCCTAAAGGGCCCACAACACCAAAACCTCATAGATCCAGATCCCCTAGTTGTAGGGACCTGAATAGTTACCTATACTATTTCGGGGGGTTCCTTATTATAATTACAGTATACTGGGCCCCAAAACCCTATTTCGAAACTACGAAGCCCAGGAGTCCCCAAACCGTAAACTCTAAACGCAAAGCCCCAAAGCCAAACCCCTGAGCCCTACACTGGAAACACTAAGGTCACCTAAGGTCACGAACTTCTAAACCCCCAAGCCCTCGGTTGAGACTCTACCTATAGTCTCCATTGTAGTTCCTTTTTTGGTTAAAAACTCCATTATAGGATCCTAACCATAAAACTGGTTAACCAACAAAAGGAACTACAATGGAGACTATAGGTAAACCCGAAGCCGAAGCAGCAAAGTCACCAAACCCTGCACCCTCGGCTCCACACCCCAAAGCGCAACACTAAACTCACTAAACCCTCTGACCAGAAACCCCAAACCCTAAGACGGTTTAGGGTTTAGGGTTTAGGGTAGGGTTTAGGGTTTAGGGTTTACCAGAAACCCCAAACCCCCAAGAGCCCCAACAAAGAAACGCTTCGCGCGTGCCTGTGAGCTCAAGAGACGTCCGCTAAGGTGGCTCGGAGTATCCGGCTGGAGGCCTCTTCAGGGTTAGGCTTTAGGGTTTAGGGTTTAGGGTTGAGAGTTTAGGGTTTAGGGTTTAGGGTTGAAGAGTTTAGGGTTTAGGGTTTAGGGTTAGGGTTTAGGGTTTGCTTACCTGAACCTACAAAAACCTATTTTTTGTAGGGTCCCTATCAATTCCATATTAGGGCTTATGATAAGAACCTACAAAAAAGTAGGGTTTGGCAGTTTAAGGTAGGGTTTAGAGCTTAGGGTTGTGCATAGGGTTGATTAAGGGTTTAGGGTTACACATAAGGTTTAGAGTTTAGGGTTGTGCATAGGGTTGATTAAGGGTTTAGGGTTACACATAAGGTTTAGAGTTTAGGGTTGTGCATATGGTTGATTAAGGGTTTAGGGTTACACATAAGGTTTAGAGTTTAGGGTTGTGCATAGGGTTGATTAAGGGTTTAGGGTTACACATAAGGTTTAGGGTTTAGGTTTATACATAGGGTTTAGGGTTGAGGGTTTCATTTAAGGTTGTAGGGTTGGGGGTTTTAGGGTTTGGAATCCCTTTGTTCAATCGCGTTTCGCCTCTGGGCCGGGGTCCGAGGTTTCAGGTGCAGGATTGGGGGCTTGAAGAAAAAAGCTTACTGGGGTTTAGGGTTGTACCTATAGTCTCCATTGTAATTCCTTTTGTTGGGTTGACCAGTTTTATGTCTAGGATCCTATATTTAACGAAAAGTGGAACTACAATGAAGACTCTAGGCTGTAGGTGGGTTTAGGATTTGGGTTTAGGGTTAAAGTAAAGCAAAAGCCGGGAAGTCGCACGTCACGATCCTGATGCCCTCGAGGCCACGCCTTGGGAATCCTAGCGCTCACTTAAAGGATCATGGGACTTAGTAAGCAGGGTTATAAGTAGGTTATAATTAGGATAACCCCAGGGGACTTATAACCCCAGTTATAACCTACTTACTAAGTCCCATGATCCTCTAAGCAATCATCCTGAATACATGTTCCAACTTTCTGGAAACCTGTGCAGTTGAGATTTGAGGCTTGGATTTTGGTGCGAAGTTTAAGCTTCGGGGTTTAGGGTTTAGGGTTTCGGCACTTAGGCAGTTTTTTCTGGGTGTGGAGGCCTCTTCAGAGGTCAGGTATCTCGAGAGCTGAAAGGTGGCAGGGATCCGGGGCTCTCCAAACAAGACCCGAAATCCCGAGCCGCAAGACAGGCTTTAGGGCTTTGGAGTTCAGGAGTTCAGGGTCTAGGTGCCGTGATGATAGAAATCAGGGTTTTGGGGCAAATTCGGGCATGGCGCCGATCAGGGAAGACCGTTACTAAGTCTTCCGACCCGACCTCTGTAGTAACCCAACACCTTAATACCCTGACCTTAGCCTAAACGCGACGTTTGCAACCCCACAGTCAATCCTCCTCGGAGCCCCCCCCAACCCTAAACCCTAAACCTTAAACCCGAAACCCGAAACCCCAAACCCTAAACCCTAAACCTTAAACCCTGAGACCCCAAACCCTAAACCCAAACGTTCAACCGCTCCAGCACGTTTGCCTGCGCTCTCGAAGGACTCCTGTGCTTGGAGCCGGGCCGACTGGCCGGAGCCTTTGAGGGGTTGGGGTTTGCGGGGTGTTGAGGAGCTTTTAAAGTGATTTCCAAAAACTCTTAAAGGGGGGTTAAGGGTTTAGGGTGATTTCAAAAAGACTTAAGGGGGGTTAAGGGGTTTAGAAATCTTTACTGTGTTTTTCTCAAAACTTTTTAAGGGAGGTTAGGGGAGGCTTCGCGGCTTTGGCCAAGGTCGCCCTTAGGGCGGCGTAGTTGAAACCTAACTTCGCAAGAAATCCCAGACCTCCGGGAGGATCCAAGAAGTAGATCCCTGAATGGGGGGGGTTCCTATAAAGTACTGTTGAAGCCACTGCAGGCCAGCACGTCCGCACAGCCTTGACGGCCCAGGCAGAGCTGAGCTCAGCCATGATCGGCAGAAGCCAGCAGACACGAGTCAAGCTAGCCTAGTGAACAGGCATAAGCTCTAGTCCTGAGGACAGACAGCTTCGACATGTGTTGTTGCGCGTAAAAGTGAATCAGTCGTGAGCCCATGGTCGGTTGCGCCAGTTCTCTGAACTAGTTTTCTGGAACGCCTTGAGAAGATCCTCGACTATGGCAGCTGATAGTGCGAACAACCCCAACCTTCATGATGAACCAGTACGTCAACAGGTTATGATACGCCCAAGTGCTACTGCTAGCGCTACCGCTACGCAGAATGACAACGAGTGTGGGAGACCCTTGATGAATGGGATTCAGAACCCCTTGAGGGGCTCACAGGATATTGATGATGAAGTTGTGGCCGCGACGGCCGGAACTACTCCTATGACTGGTCGTGAGGCTCCCAGTGCGGTGGGCGATGCAGCTCCCGGCACGGGTCGAACTCAAGTGGCTTCAGCTTTTGGTGGTCTGTCTGGGGCGGATTCCCAGCGGAATCCTGTGGCGGATTTGCGAGCCCCGGCATCCGGCCTTTCAGCTGCCTTGCCGGGACCTCGTAGTCCTGCTGCGCCAAGTCAGGATGGGCCAAGACCATCTGCTCCACCCGGAGTTTTGACGGGTGTCCTAAGGGCGGTGCAAACCTTGCCGGCGACCATGGAGAATCTTGTGGCGAGGTCTACAGGAGGACGCTCTGGTCCAGGAACGCCTGCCCAACATGACAGTGTGGAGTACGCTTCGGTGAGATCCTCGGCTGAGCGGGGATTACCGCCTCCGCCGCCGGAACCTACGCCATCTGATCCTTTGTTCGACGTGCCTACTCTGGTGAGAATGCAGCAGATGCAGGAAGCTGCTCCGCTGCTCTATCCAGCGGCCTCGCTGGAATTTGCCGGACCATGCATGTCAGCGGAACCAGTGGATCAGAGGGGTTTCTATGAGCGAGAGGGCCCCAGACCTCCATCTACGTCGTCTAGTGAGCTACAAGCCGAGGTTAGAAGACAACTAACGGAAATTATGGCTTTAAGGGACGAGGAGAGCCGAAGGCTCCGCGCCCAAGTGGAGGCGTTGTCCATGGAGAACCAGAGTTTGAGAATGAGGGCTGAGTTTGAGCCCCAGCCAGGGATGCATCCTTTTCGGCAGTCTACGGGGTTTCCTGGATTTGGTTGGTTAGGAAGAGGATTGGGATCTCTAATGGGTCATCCCAGACCTGAGCGAGCCCTGGATTCGGGCACGCCTCAGGCTCCTCAGCCGTTACCGCCTCCTCTCCCTATTGCCTCTGGTGTTCCTCCACCTCCGTCGGCCCCGAGAGCCCTGTTAGGTCAAGAACTGCCAGGTGGAACAGCTCATCAACCTGCAACATACCCTACCGCGCCTAGTAACCCTAACTTCGGTTTAGGCCCTACCCAACGGGAGTTAGGATACCTAGGATCGGGACCGTGTAGAGGTCTTGTAGAGGATCAGCCCAGGGCCCAGCCTAGGTATGAAGTCCCTCCACAACCGCCACATGAGCCCCTTCTTGGTTCCCTAAGAAGCCCTAATCCTGAGCCTTTCCCAGCCGCTGGACCAGGAAGTGCCCTGGATCGTGCATGTGTGGCCACGGCAGGACTGGAGGCTCCTCCGATCGCTCAAGCACCGGAGGCGGCTCCCTCGCAGGGAGGGCCAGGAGCACAGGGTTTGGATCCTATGACCGTTGTTTTGAGCGGGATGGCGCAGTTGCAGAGTGTTGTTCAGGAAATGGCAAGCCCTAAGAACACCCAGAAACCCGAGGTTATAAAACCAGGAGTGGTTAGCCTCCCTGAGCTGCCTCCACATGGGCCAGAGTCTTGCTTGAGTTTTGCGGATTGGTTGCACGCCTCGAAACCCGCGTTAGCCGACATTTCGGATACTTCGGAGTCTTTGTGGACCACGACCATAGCAGAGGCCAAGGAGTGGTATGCTAACTACTTGAAGCTAGATCCGTTAGCTCGCCTCACGGCAAAACCCAAGGCTTCAGATGAGTTAGCACAACCCAAGTGGACCCGTGTGGCTCGTAGGATCGAGACTATGATAATAGCGGCGTCGCCCCAGGCGATAAAGGACGAGTTGAGTGCTTCCCGGGTGTCCGGGCTACTTCCACTAGTCTGCCGATTATTCATAATCTACGGCCCCGGTAGTATCACCGAGCGCGAACTAGGCCTTAAAAATATCACTGACCCTGCCCCGTGCTCCTCAATCCAAGAAACGATCGAAGGGCTGCGGCGCTGGCAGAGGTGGAGCTCGCGAATCTCTGAACTCGGTGGTAAGCTCCCGGACAGCTCCCTTCAGGTTAGAGCCTTGAGCAAGCTGACCAAAACGGTCCTCCAACAGAACCCCGAAGTGGCGTTCCGTGTGAATCTCGCGAGGGCGTCACTCCAAATCGACCTGAATCCGGACGACGAGAAGGTCCGAAAGCTGCACGCTCAACTCCTTGGGGAGTTGGAGGCCATTGCACATAGGGGTGATAAGGATAAGGGAACGCGAGACCCCCCACCACAGGCTCCGGCTAAGGTGAAGGGTGTGGAGGCCCCTAATCCAAATCCACCCCCGCCTAAGAAACCACCCAAGAGCCCCCCAAAGGCGCCGAGCAATGCCAAGGCAGGCTCTCAAGAACCAGGCTCCGCCACTAAGACACCGTGTACGTTTTACGTTGGACATAATGGCTGTAAGAAGGGAGCGGATTGCACCTACGAGCATGATTGGAACGGATTCTCGGCGTCTGAGAAGGCTGCAAGATGCAAGGTGTGTGGGTCTAAAACCCACAAGTCTGCTGAGTGTAAGGCTGGCACAAAGTTGGATGAAGCTAAGGGTAAGGGTAAGGGAGCCAAGGGACCTAGTGGGCCTAAGTCCAACCCTAACCCCCCTAGCGTTCCTCCTCCACCCCCGCCGGGAGGTGACACGAATCAGCAACAGATCAAGAGCCTCCTAGCTGATGCAGCCTGGATACTCCAGCAGTCAATGCCTACATCGCAGTCCGCCGGGGCAGAGCCGGTTCTGACCGTTCCGGTTACCCCAACCCCAGCACAGCCTTCTGGTGCTCAGCCCCAGGCGCCTACTGCAGCGGCTGTTCAGGGCACGCCAGTCACGCTGGCTTCCCTGAGTGCTCAGTTGGACACTCTCCGAGGGCTGTCGCGAGATCCAGAGGTTAAAGTGATTAAGGGTCCCGACGGTCTGGGCGAGCCCTTTAAGGAGCCCGGGATGAGTGCTGGGATCTCTGTGAGCGCACTTAGGACCCCGTTGGATGCCTTGAAGAGAGCGGTTGAGATCTTTGAAACTAGGGTTCAGGCTAAGGATGATGGGGCTGGAGGTGTTGCCTTGCTTGATAGTGGGGCGACGCATGCGGTGATCTCCTTCCATGAAAGGCTAAGGAACCTTGAGCCTGTACCAGTTACCCTAGCCGGTGATGAGAGGCAAGAGTGGCTAAGAACGGAAGGGGGAACTTTGGTAATCCCGCCAAGCCAAGAGCCTGCAACTCCTAAGTCTTCACAGACGATCCTTCCACTAGGAGCCCTGGTTGAGACGTTAGGCTGCCAGGTGAGCTGGTCTAAGAAACGGGGGTTAAGGGTCGTACACCCTACGCTAGGGGTGCTTAAGACCCAGATCTCTAAGAACACCTGCCCCTATGTGGAAGAATCCCAAGCCCTACGCTTGATTGCCGAACTTGAGGACCAACGGGTAGATCATTTCAGGCAACGAGTGCAGAATTTGGAGTGTCAACTGAGCGCCTTTGATCAGTGCCCAGATCCTACGGGCGCGTTGCGCTCGCTTGTTGATACTGGAACCCGTGTGGATGCGCTTAGGGCGTTCCTCGCGCAGCCTTACTTGGAGGCACTGCCCGATGAGGCCAGGGTTGAACTTGCAGAGTCATTTCCCAATGGAAGTTCTGATACCGCAAGGACCCTCTTGAAGCGGCTACCATTGAAACGGGCCACTAGACGACGTCTCCTTGACTCCAAGCAGTGGGTGGTGCACCTGTGTAGCGGGCCTCCTAACAGGGGTGATCCTTTGAGTAAGTGGGCAGATGAAAGGGGAATGCCTGTCCTCAGCGTGGATCTTCGCCAGCCTGGCGGCGAGGTAAGGAGGTTGGTGGCCCAGGGAATGATTCTGTGGTCGTTAGCTTCAGTCGCCAGAGGCAGGGGAATAGTGTATATAGCAGAGCACCCGTCGTGTTTTGGCAAGGCCGCCGAATCATTCTTGAGCTGGTCGGGAACCAAGGTAGTTGAGTTCTCCCAGGGTGCGCTAGGAGATGAGTACTTGAGACCAACAGCCTTGATCACCAATCTGGATCTAAGCTATCTCTCCTTCCTTGAACCTCGTGGCAACCCTTTGGCTCCCCCCGGGGGAAGAGCCTGGACGACTCACCTGCGTACGGCCTTGGTTCAGGTGCTGTCTGGGAACTACCTAGGGCCCTCGTGAGATATCTTCTCACCTGAACGGGCAGTCTGCCTGTTGTGAGCCTCCCACCACTGATGCTCCTTCCGTGGAGGTTGAACCTCTGGAGATGGATTGGGAGGGCCAGGCATTACGCAGGGCCTTTGAGGTAGAAAGTGATCTTGATTGTGATGATGAGGAGGAGGTTTTGGGTGAAGACTTGTGTGTCAAGGAGGTTGAAGCACCTTCTCGGGCGCCGGCCGATGGTGAGGACCCTAAGCTCAACCCTAAGGAGCTAGGCATAACAGGTGCAGAGCTTGAGGGATGGAAGCAGCATTTGCGTAACGGCCATCTCCCTTACCTTTGGGATTGCCGGCAATGCGTGGAGGGTTCAGGGCTAGGCGTATTTCACAAGCGAGTTCGTTTCCCAAAGTCATTTGCGTTGTCGGTTGATCTCTTCGGTCCGGTTCCGGTGTCAGAGGCAGGACGGGATGAGGGGTGTGTCACCAGCAAGTCAATCCTTCGCTACGGACTAGTTGGTGCCTTCCGTGTTCCGAGGTCGGTTGTCCAGTCAACGAGTGGACCAAGTGGGGTTGAGGATCTGTTTAAAGGTGAGGTCCCTCAAGCACCCCTAGAAGGGGACGAACTTGCCGAGTACGAACCTTCAAACGCAAGCGATGAGCTGTTCCCAGAACTCTTTGCTTCGAACCCGGATGCCATTCAGCAGACTCCCGAGGAGCGGGAACCAGTGCCAGATGCTGAGGTCAAGTCGGCAGAGGCCCCTGAGGTGTCTGTATGGGACTCTGGTGATCTTCCGGAGGATCCGGTTGAGCTGGCAGGTTTAATCAAGGAGTTGAATGAGCCGGTGGACCAGGTAGTCTTGAGATACTTCATTCCGCTACGCACTAAATCCGGTGTTGAGGTTGCAGAAGCCCTCCAACGAATGATCTTGGGAATCAACCAAAGGTTCCCAGTGCAGAGCATCCATCATGATCCCGGCACCGAATTTGGGTCAGCAGCCCTTAGTAAGTGGTTAGCCAACCACGGGGTAAGAGTTCAGCATTCCCTACCCACAGATAAGAGAGCTAATGGCCTGGCAGAAAGGACAGTAGGTTGGGTCAAGTCCCGCATCCGTACGTTGCTGAATGGCGCTGGCCTTTCGGTGGGATGGTGGCCACTAGCTGCCCGCTGGGCTGTTGCCAAGCACAATCAACATCTCTTGGGTGAGGCTGATCTACCGGCCTTTGGGCAGCGAGTGTTGCACCGTGTGAAACAGCCGGCAGACGGCACAAAGCAGTTAATGGAGCGCTGGATTGAAGCACAATATGCAGCTCCGCACCGTTCGATCACGGATGGACATGTGTTGATCAATGCAGCGGGCAATTTAGTAGCTTCTCGGGGCTTCAGGTCGCATGTGATAGACCAGACTTACAACCCCCACTTCTTCAGGAGGAGGATGCCGGGGAGCCCGTGGACGCTTTGGTAGATGAATCGGGGGTGCCACTGAAAAGGTTGAGAGATAAGACCTCTGTCCGGTTTCTTGAGTGTTTGGATTCTCCTACTTCTGAGGAGGTGGCCCATGAGCTTTTGATTTCCCAGGATTTGAGCCTGAAGGGAGTCCACAAGGTTTTGAGTGCCTTTGCCCAGGAGGAGGAGAGCACAGGAGACAGGAGAGGTATCGCTGAGGGAAAATACGTCCTTGGTGCGTACTGTCATGGTGGCCTGAGAGGAGTCACTGGTTTGACCAAGAGGAAGCCTTGGACCACCAGGCTTTTGAACGCTGTGCTGGCTTCCCGTGTCAGTGCTTGTGAAGGGGTTAGACCCACATGGTCAGCGTTGATGTTGATGCGTGCAGGGGATGTGGAAGTGCACCGGGATTGGAGGAATGAATGGGGCACACTAAACTTTGTCATGCACGTTCCGGGAGAGGTTCAATTATGGGTCGAGCCCGATGAATCTGCCCGAGTAAAGGGCGGAGCTTTGCGCCGAATCCCACCTGGTGTTCCCAGGAGACTCGAGCCCTCACTGAGGTTCCTGTGGCTTTCAATGCGCGCCGGCACCATGCAGTGCGAATGCACCAGAACTGGTTGATAGTCGGTTACACCCCGTTAGGTACTGGGAAGCTTCAGCAGAGTAGTGTAGCGATGTTGGAGGCGTATGAGTTTCCCATGCCGGAAACCACCAGTGCCCAACAGCATGTACCTGGAGTTGATGATCGTGGGTATAGGGTTCAGGCATTGACCACGAGCTCCGAAGATACGTCGGAGTCGAGTATCGAGTCTGGTGAGCTGCAAAGACAGATCGAGGCCACTAGGTTGCGCGAGCAAGTGCCAGACTCTGATGGTGGGTCTTGTTCGTCCGCCGCGCAGGATTCTCTGTCGGCTGATTTGCAGCCGAGTGCCGACTCATTGTTAATCGGTTGGGACTTCAGTTCTGGAAACCCAGGTGATAGACCGCAGGAGGCCCTCGAGAATATCGATCTAGCTGACTACCTTACGGTCAGGGGTGCCCATCAAGCGTATCGCCAGCTGAGAGCGTTGGGAATTGAGGTTCCAAACGACCTGCAATTTCTGTTTGTCGAAGACCTGATTGAGCACGGTATCCCAGAGTGGCTGGCCACCAGAATAATGCAAGGGATCCACCCACCCGGGACTAGGAGACCTGATAATCCCCAGAACTCTAGCCTAACTACAGGCGAGGTCCGAGTGTTCGATAAGACCAATAGGCAGATTCCTTGGATCTTTCAGAACCGGACGCTGGGAGTCAGGTGTCCAGGACCCCCGCTGCCCTCTCTAGGCATTAAACAACCAGATGCCCTTCGGAGGCTGTCGGACCCTAAGGAGGACACTCGCCCAGGACGCCGCTGGGATGTCCCTGAGGAGACACCACGTGCAGATCCAACAGATTCACCCTCGCCACAGTTGGGTTTAGGCCCACCTTACGATAACTCCGGGGAGCCATCCTCGAACCCTGGTGTTCAAGTGAGGTCTGACTATAACCACGTAATGTACATGCAAGAGATGTGGGGAGATGAAGAGTGGATACCCAGCGTTGGAGCAGCATCCAGTTCTCAGCCGTCGAGGCCAGTTCCTTCTGGAGCCCAGCTTCCTAGTCCAGATCTAGGTGATAATGTAGTCCCGGAGGAGACTAGTGCAGATCCGACAGATTCATCCTCGCCACAGTCGTCTGAAGAATATAGATGTATGGTAGTCCGTCCTTGTCTTTCCCCTAGCGAAGCTCGTAGCGGTCCTGAGTCGCCAAGTGAGAGTTTGAAGGCGAGACACCAGGGAGCCCAGGGCACTAGGTCAGTGATCGGTGTTCCGACTGAGGACCCGTTGGGGAATATAGGTGCAGGTCATCCCGCAGCACTGCCGGATCCAATGATCAATCGGGTCGATGAGAGTGGATTCACTCCAAATGTGGAAGACCTGTTGTCCAAGTTGCAAGGTCCATTGGAGGTGACGCACAACGTGGCACCCGCTGAAGTCCGGCAGAACTTGGCAGCTTGGCGCCCGGCAGCACAGGCAGAGTTGAGCACGTTTGAGACCATGGGAGTCATACGCAAGTTTTACGGAAGCGAAGCCCGTGCTATCCTCAGAAGTTCGGACTACGAGGTCATACCGGGGAAACCGGTATGTACGGTGAAACCTGGTGCCCCTTACAAGAGAAAATTTAGGATTGTGTCATGTGGGAACTATGCGAAGACAACTGCCGAGTCCCAGCTTTACGCTGGTGGTGCCGGCGCAGAGTCCCTGAGGGCCCTACTTGCCCATTCGGCCCGACGTGGTCGTAGGGCATACGGGCTGGATGTGAAGTCTGCTTTCCTTCTCGCATCGATTCCGGAAGGAGTGACGAAGCGCTATGCAATGCGGGCACCACGTCTGTTAGTCGAGCTTGAGCTGGCACGGGAGGACGAGGTGTGGATTATAGACAGGGCGTTGTATGGATTTAGAGAAAGTCCGCGCTGGTGGTCGTTGTTCAGAGACAGTTTTCTTGCAAAGGCAGAGTGGAATACCCCATTGGGGAAGGTCACTTTGGAGCAGTTTTCCTCTGAAAGCAACGTCTGGCGAATGAGGCACGAGAGCGGCTTATGCATTGGACACCTGTTGGTCTATGTGGACGACATGTTGCTTCTGACAGAGCCAGAAGTGGCGCAGTCGTTCATTGACTGGATTAGGGAGTCTTGGGAATGCACGGGATTGAAGGAGGCGACAGCCACGGACCCGTTGCGCTTCCTGGGAGTGGACATTTATGCTGAGCTGAATGATACTGGTGACCTGATAGGGTACAGCCTGGCTCAGGAGTCCTACATTGCAGAGTTGTTGCGGAGCCATGATGTAAGGTCAAATTCCCGTGCTACAGCGCCGGTACCCAAGGAATGGGTGCGTGAACTTCCCCAGGAGGAGGAATTCTCAGAGAAGGAGCTACGAGCAGCTCAGCGCATTACAGGAGAGCTTCTCTGGGTGGCTCAGAGGTCCAGGGTGGACATCAGCTACTGCGTGGGAATGATGGCAAGCTGGGTAGCTCGCTTCCCGAAGCAGGTTCTGAAGATAGGACTTAGAACCTTAGAGTATTTGGCAACCACGAAGTCTCATAGACTTATGTTGATTCCAGGGAAGGCCGATGGGCTTAGGATCTACACGGACGCGTCATTCGCGCCCCACGGAAGCCACTCCATCAGCGGCATAGCCCTTCTTTATGATGAGTGTTGCATTGTTTGGAAGTCGAAGCGCCAAAGCATCGTTACACTAAGCACAGCGGAATCGGAGCTTGTGTCAGGTTGCGAAGGGGTTGTGCTAGCACAGTCTTTGGAAGCTTTAATTTCTGAGCTTGAGGAGGGGCCTTGTGGCAAACATCTGATGATTGATAACACCGCAGCAGTAACGCTAGCAGGCGGTGAAGGGAGCCAGCGCACGCGACATTTGCGAGTCCGATCGTCCTTCATTCGAGACATGATCGAACGAAGGGAAATCGAGGTGTCGCACTGCCCCGGTGATGTGCAGTTGGCTGACTGCTTAACTAAGGCCCTAATGAAAACCCGCCTCGACGACCTGTGTAAGCTCTTGGGTTTAGGACCTCCTAACCCCAATTCCACGCCATCACAGGTGTCCCGAGTTGAGACGGACGCATTACCTTCACAAGGACCCTTCGAGCCCTTCAGCGAGGCCTCGGGGCAATTCTCCTCCAGGAGTGCCGTGCAAAGGAGTTTCGTGGGTAATCATAGAATGGGGTTATGGTTGTTAGGTATGCTACTGTTGGTCCAGGCGGACGTCAATGAGGCTGCACCAAGCGATGAATTTGAAGCAGAACCATTGGGTCTAGAGCTCTCGCTTTTGGTGGTGTTGTTGGTTATGTCGATACTCTTTCTTTGGGAGTCAGGTAGGTACTGTGTACGATCCTGCTGCAGGCAACGTGAGCCAGTAGCGGTGAGAATGGTTCATGCAGACCCTGACGTAGGAGAACAAGAACCCTCCACCGGAAGGGAACGTAGACAGGAGCAGGTTCGTAGAGTCATTGCCCGTGAGTTGGAAGAGGAAGGTTTGAGGCAAAGGGGTATAGGCAGTCGAGAGGTTGAAAGTCGTCAGCCCCCCCATGCGGAAGCTTCCTATGTTAGAGTGGAAGTGGAAACACGGCCTCAACTCCCTGCTTTGGATTTGCCGCCACCGCCACCACCACTGCCTTCCAGCAGTTCGGTATCCATCCCGACCGATACCACCTATGGATTTCATGGACTTTCTGGATTTCCGGCGGTTGAACCGCCACCGGCACCCTTTCCGGCCTTCTTAGAGACTCGATCCTCTGTCCCGAATAGTGGTTTAGAGAAAGAAGTCAAGACGGCTAAGGATGCATCTACGCAAACTACTTTTGATCAAGGTTTCACATTTAGTGAGTTGTGTGAGCTCCACGTGATGACCACAGCAAGTAGATCCCCAGGAGCACTACATCTCTTCCGATCCTGTCAAGCGCTTAGGAACACGACTTCAGTACAGGACAGGATGATATGTCGCTATTGCCTCCAGGCTTTGCGGGACGGAAGGGATTGACAGCTTTCCATCCAAAACTGGATGATGCAGCTGAGGAGGAGTGTTGAAGCCACTGCAGGCCAGCACGTCCGCACAGCCTTGACGGCCCAGGCAGAGCTGAGCTCAGCCATGATCGGCAGAAGCCAGCAGACACGAGTCAAGCTAGCCTAGTGAACAGGCATAAGCTCTAGTCCTGAGGACAGACAGCTTCGACATGTGTTGTTGCGCGTAAAAGTGAATCAGTCGTGAGCCCATGGTCGGTTGCGCCAGTTCTCTGAACTAGTTTTCTGGAACGCCTTGAGAAGATCCTCGACTATGGCAGCTGATAGTGCGAACAACCCCAACCTTCATGATGAACCAGTACGTCAACAAGTACCCTTGGCAGTATAGGGCCCCAAATTAGGGGATCTACTTTCTAGATCCTTCCGGAGTCTGGGAAATCGCGGAGCTTCGGCTCAGGGATTGCTTAGAAGGGGCCCCCACCCTGTAATAGTGATATCATAGGAATATAACAGGGCCCTAATATAAGCCTAATAGTCACTACACAGGGTGGTATAATAGGAATATGATGGGGCCCTAATATAATCCTTATAGTCACTGTTACAGGGTGGGGGCCCTTCTGAGGGATTGGCAACTTCCCTCGAAGTGCCATCGGCAGGCAAACTGGAGCATGCGCTCAAAACTGGCAGGATGCACGGCGAAAGCTCACTGGCTGGCAAGGTGCAGGAACAGGAGCCTTGCTTGAACCCCCAGACATCTCAACCAAGAACAACGCACCAACAAAACCAAGTTCTAAACCCTTTTAAGCCCTAAACCCTAAACCCTATAACCCCTACACCCCAAACCCCCCCAAAACCACTAAGCCCTAAACCCTAAACCCTCATAAACCCTAAATCTAGGAACCTCAAGTTGGTAAGCCCTCCAAATCCCAACTCTGAATCCGCAGCTTTGCTTCGCCAGACCTTGTGGAGGGTCGGCGGAACATAGAGACCTCAGGTTTATGTTTAGGGCTTAGGGGTTTAGGGTTTAGGGTTTAGGGTTTAAGGTTTAAGTTGAGGGTCTAGGAGAAGCTCTAGCCGTGAGCCGCCACATCGAAAAGATAAGGGATAGATAACCCCGGTCGCCACCCTGAACCCTCAATCCTAAAACTTCAACCCTAAACGAGCCTGGGGATGTAGCAAACGCATTGTGCAGCCTTCTTGCTGGATCTTATCACGGCTTTTTGGCGCACAGAGGGGTGCTCTGTGTAGTGGAGAGATTGATGGACCAGTTGATCCAGTTAGGAGCTCGTTGCGATTGTTGTTGCTGCAATTCTGGATTTTCCCAGCTCGTTCTAGACCCTAAACCCTAAACCGTTTGAATCGGTGTTGTCAGTGCTTCTGCTCTTGGCAGCATGCTCCCGAATCCTCCCTGGGTGGTCTACGTCTTTGCGCCTAGGGGTTCAGGGTATAGGGTTTAGGGTTTAGCTGCTGTTGGAATTGTTCCTATTACTGCTGATGCTGCTGTTCTTGTTATTCTTATTCTTGCTCTTGCAGGTGTTTTTGTTGTTGCCGGTGCTGGGCTGCTGCGATAGTTGCTTGCCCTATATTTGATGCTCATGACTCATGTGGAGCATTCAACGTTGGAAGATTGCCAAACCCGAAGAACTACTGAATCCAGAGCCGACTAAACCCTGCGTGAAACCCAGATAAAACAAAAACACACAGAGGCCTGCATCATACTGTAAATAAAGGCTGCACCAAACACAAGTCAAAACGTTTGAAAACCAGCTACATAATCCCTGCAAAGACGCCCAATAGACGTCCGAACCCCCATTGCGGCCGTGCGGCTCTTGGCTGGCAAGAACCGACTTCCCTCTTGCACCTGCCACGCGGGTTTTGATTCACTACAGCTTCCAGCACGAATGTTGATACGGCGAATAACAACGGGCGGAAGGTTTCGGTACTAGTATTTCGACTTCCCTTGTATTGAAAAGCTTCCCTGCTGTACAGCTTTGAACGTCAATTTTGGGTTCCCTTGTATTGAAAAGTTTCCCTTCTCTACAGGCTTGAATTTTATCCGTCTCTGAACGGCTCGAGCACGTGCTATCTGGGGAAGAGCTCATGCTCGATGAGCTACCCAGGGGGGCAGGGAGCACTAAATCCTAAACCCTAAACCCTAAACCCTAAATCCTAAACTCTAACCCGCCCTTTGCCGCTGCCTGCGAACATGTGGCTGTTCGGCACGTTCAGCTTGGAAGCTGATGTCCGGCGTGGAGACCTGATAGAGAAACATTCATAGGGATCCTTAGGGGTGTAGGGGGGGGGGTGTAGGGGACTATATTTCCTTAAATCGGCCTTATTAGTCCTTATTATGGGCCTTAAGGCCCCCTACCCCCCCTCCCCCTACACCCCTAAGGATCCCTATGAAACATAGGTGTCAGGGTTTATATGATATAGCGTTTAAGGTATAAAGGGAACTCCAGAAAGTTGGAATATGGATTAATGGTAGGATTTAGGATCCCCTATAATTTACCTTAAAGGGGTTTCGATAATGATATTTCAACTTTCTGGCTTCTACTGTAGGGTAAAGGGTTGATAGGGCAATACAGGGGTTTCAATGCTCTTGGGTTTATCAGAGCTCTGACCGGGAGTTTGGGGTTTATCATACTGTAACTTTGTTGGGTGACTGTAGAAGGGTGCTGCTGCCATTTATTCAACATAATAACTGAAGTAGACCAGACAGGGAAGCCTTCCGATCAAGTCCGAAAAAGTCAAACATTCCAAAGAAAGGAACAAACTTTTCAGCTTGTCCGGAAATAGGCACCAAGACTCAAATCCCACATCCTAAACTTTTACACTTCGTTAAACCTAAAATTCAACCCTTGGTTTGAGTGTGTGTCGTTGGTCCCGAAGAACATGCCAATCGCTCTCCCGAAAGAACAAATCACCCAATGCGGGAGTTTACTGGTGACAACGATGATGATGTATGTCATTGAAACTTGGCTGTTGCGAAGGTCGTGCTTGTTGAAATAGGGACCGTTTGAGTTAGGATTGCTCTCGCTGGTAAAAATTTATTGAGCACTTACATGACCGCTGCCGCTTGCGCGGCTTTTGCTCGTAACCAGCCTCCAACTTCCTTCGTACAGCCTTCTTCCAAACCCACCAAGCAGCTCAAGCCCTACTGTGTGGTTCGAGTCTGTTGGTTCCAGAACACCTCACCCGTCTTGTTTGATGGCTCCTATCAGCAAACAGGATCCAAGAAAAATAACCAGAAAGGATGTGCATGCGTGCATGTATGTGCATGTATGATGTATGTATGTATGTATGCATGCGTGTATATATGTACAGTATCTATGTATGTATGCATGCAATAATGCATGGATGCAGGTATGCATGTGTGGATACACATGGCTGACCGCCCCAATGCCCACGGAAAGTTGCCAAACCGTGGGCAACGTGCAAGACCAAGGGCCGGGGGCCGGGATCCTGATTCCTTTCATGGGCATCGTGGATCTAGAAAGTAGAACGCCTGATTTGGGGCCATATATATATATATATATATATATATGAGAGAGAGGCGCCTCTAGGGTCTTTTTTACGCTCTAGTCTTTTCTGTATGACTATTATTATTTTAAATAATTGAAATAATTGAAATAATTGAAATCCCCCCCATTTCAATTATTTCAATTATTTAAATCCCTGGGTTTGGTGGCTTGGGCCCATCGAACCTTCGGATTTCAATTATTTCAATTATTTAAATCCGCCAAAGAGCCCAAATAATTGAAATAATTGAAATCGATGGCTGTTCTGGCCCAAGCCACCAAACCCAGGGATTTGAATAATTGAAATAATTGAAATAATTGAAATGGGGGGGATTTCAATTATTTAAATCCGCCAAAGGGCCCAAATAATTGAAATAATTGAAATCCCCCCCATTTCAATTATTTCAATTATTTCAATTATTGAAATCCCTGGATTTGGTGGCTTGGGCCCATCGAACCTTCGGATTTCAATTATTTCAATTATTTAAATCCGCCAAAGGGCCCAAATAATTGAAATAATTGAAATCGATGGCTGTTCTGGCCCAAGCCACCAAACCCAGGGATTTGAATAATTGAAATCATTGAAATAATTGAAATAATTGAAATGGGGGGGATTTCAATTATTTCAATTATTTAAATCCGCCAAAGGGCCCAAATAATTGAAATAATTGAAATCCACCCCATTTCAATTATTTCAATTATTTCAATTATTGAAATCCCTGGATTTGGTGGCTTGGGCCCATCGAACCTTCGGATTTCAATTATTTCAATTATTTAAATCCGCCAAAGGGCCCAAATAATTGAAATAATTGAAATAATTGAAATCGACGGCTGTTCTGGCCCAAGCCACCAAACCCAGGGATTTGAATAATTGAAATAATTGAAATAATTGAAATAATTGAAATGGGGGGGATTTCAATTATTTCAATTATTTAAATCCGCCAAAGGGCCCAAATAATTGAAATAATTGAAATCCCCCCCATTTCAATTATTTCAATTATTTCAATTATTGAAATCCCTGGATTTGGTGGCTTGGGCCCATCGAACCTTCGGATTTCAATTATTTCAATTATTTAAATCCGCCAAAGGGCCCAAATAATTGAAATAATTGAAATCGATGGCTGTTCTGGGCCAAGCCACGAATCCCAGGATTTGAATTATTGAAATAATTGAAATAATTGAAATAATTGAAATCCGGGATTTCAATTATTTCAATTATTTAAATCCACCAAACAGCCCAAATAATTGAAATAATTGAAATCGGCCCCATTTCAATTATTTCAATTATTTCAAATATTGAAATCCCTGGATTTGGTGGCTTGGGCCCATGGAACCTTCGGATTTCAATTATTTCAATTATTTAAATCCGCCAAAGGGCCCAAATAATTGAAATAATTGAAATAATTGAAATCGGCCCCATTTCAATTATTTCAATTATTGAAATCCCTGGATTTGGTGGCTTGGGCCCACGGGTCACCTCCCCACCCCTCCCCCCCCT